CTCCATGATGAAGCTCGAACCGAGCGCTCTTACAAAACAGAGCGAAATAAACAAACAGGCCAATCGGCAAGGGAAGCGAAACAGTGAAAAGTGCTTGAATGCAGGCACTGATATGTGCAGAGGCTACTGACAGCCTGGACCGAGGAGCTCGAAGTCCAGGAGGAAGTAAATGAACCAAGACCTGGCGGAACGGAAAAGGTCGAGGATGGGAAAGGGATGCGATTGAACATTGTGTGTGAAAGCAATGGTTCCTAATTGGAAGGGTGATCGAGGTGGAAAGGCCGTGGCTGGTGTGGAAAGCATCCATAAGTGCAGGAAATCGTAATTCACTAAATGGTCTGAACAGGCAAAAGGGGCGAACAGATTGAATAGAAAATGGATGGACGGAAGGGGGAAAGGGTGGAAGTGGGCGGAGATTGGAACAATATGGACGGCATCCATTTGACCAAGAAATTTTGATGCGGATTATGGAACGTGAGAACGGCCACAAATTCATGGCAGGTGACTGTGGAGTGCTTGAAAAATTGCGTGGAGGCGGGTGGGGAAATTGAACAGCTGTGTGGCGGCATCCATTTGGCTAAGAAATTTTGAGCAAAATGCGGACTGAGGAAGATGAAGACGGTCATGCAAGCTTGGCACATAAAGGTGCGGCGCCTGAATAATGCAAACGAGGGCATTCTTGAAGGAAAACAAAAAATGGCGTCCGAACGAACAGCGAACAGCATGTGAGCAGGAGAGACTGGGCTCCTGGCAAAGCGGCACCTGAGCAAACGGGGCGTGCAGGAGCTGTTAATGGGAACACTGGGGCTTGAAATCACCTGCCAGCAATGTCTGACAATGCGCAGCCAGGCCAATGGGCAAGAGCACAAGAATTCTGCTGCCAGAAAACAAAAGTTAGGCTGAGCTCCTGGCCGCGAATCATCACCTGGGCAAGCGACGCGAACACGAAGATATGAACAGGCAGGAAAACATGTACAAGGAGGCAAAGGCTAAGAAGGGGTGCATTTTGTCACGCGGGCCAGCAATGTCAAGGCTTCTTTGGAGGGCGAGGCATCGGCTTAAACAGGGGGGGGTCAAAGAAGACCGTAAGCGGGCGCTGGGCTGCCACAGCAGCAGTGGCTGGGGCTTTCGCGGCCGGCCCTTTGGCTTTTGGAGCCGCTTTGATGGGGACAGCTTTGGCGGGCTGGGCCACGGGTTGGACCGGCTTGCTCATTTTGGCGGGTGAAACCTGGCCGGGAGTCTGCAAACGTGAAACGGAGACAGCTGGTGCCTCGGGCGTCTTGAAACGTGAGGCCGACCAGACTTCTTGGTTCACCCGTCCAATTCGCTTGTACGCGCCCGTGGCGTGGATGGCGTGGAGTCCGGAGGGCCCAGGCAAACTCGGAGTGGTGGCAGGCCTTCGTGCGGAAGGCGATGAAGAGGATGCCAGAAGCGGAACAGCTGGTGGTGCAGCGGCAGGAAAGGCTGGCTGGAACGGCTTGCCTTCTCGTCCCCCAGGAGGGGGGGCAGCCGGTGGCGGAGCGTTCGGAGCCGCAGGGACGGAGGCCGAAGGAGGAAGGTCGTGCTTGCCCCACTTGCCCCAAGTTCCATCATCAGAGTCCGGTCGAACCTGGGCCGCCACGGCCGCGGGAGCCTTAGGTGGAGCACAGTCACCATGGGCGCGCTTCTGCGGAGGTTCGGGAACAGCGGCAATTGCTGGGGAAGGAAGCAGACTCCAATCAGGGTCTGGGATCTGTTGGTCCTCGCCGCTGGAGGAGTTGACAGAGTTCGCCGACTCCGTCTCGCAATTGCTTTGAGCCGAGTGCATGGCTCGGCCGGCGGTCTCCACATCCGCCCCCTCCTCATCGGAAGAGTGATACTGGCACAACAAAGCAAGGCCAGACATGGCGGCACACAACTTCAAGAAAAGCGGGGCGAGCAAGAGAGCAACGGCTGCGGAAAAAGAAGTCAAAGCAACAACTGAGCAAGGTGGACAGTGGAAAAACACTCTGAGCTCGCGACTGGGTCACCTACTGCAAGGCGGCTGCAAACAGGCACTTTTCAGGGTTCAAAGCAAAGATCAAGCTCCGGAAGCAGCTAAAGAAGAAGAAATGAAACAGAGCAACTGGTGTTTGAGCTTGGTCCAAACTTTAACGTGATCGAAGGCACGTTCACGGATCATGAAATCATAAGCAGCTTGGATCTCCTCGATCATGAGAGGGGTGTTGGGGTGAACAGGCGAACCAAGGTCGAGCAAGAAGGAATCCCCATCGAACGGCGTGGTGAAGATGTGGGCAATCTCAATGCTTTGAAGCATAGTTTGAACAATGAAGAGGCACTCTCTGAGCTTGGCAAGTTCGGAACGAGTTCGTAAAGAAGCATCAGTGCCCATGAAGTAGAGCATCGCGTTCCGAAGGTTCTCAACAGGTCCGTGGGCTAGGTTGATTCGTTGCTGAAACGATCTGTCAGCCTGAAGCTCAGTCGCCATTATGGAGGCAAAGTTTTGCCAATCCATGCTGTTAGATATACTGATGGCACCGAAAAGCTGCGGAAAAGCGAACATAGTGCAAAAGCACACGCAGAGAGCTAAGCTGGCTCCCGGCTAAGAAGGAGCGACATCCGCCCGGGCAATCGCGCGCGAAGCGGGAACAAAGCTGCTCCAAAATATGTCCTGATCGTCTCAAAAATAAATATAATGTTTGTTGCACATGAAGGGGAAGCACATGTTGTGAGTGCTTCTCAAATAAAGCCGAGTGTGCTCGAGCCCAAACTAATCACAAACAACCGATTCAACGTCAAGCGAAATTAAAGGAGCGTCTTAACAGAAGCATACCACAACAACACAACAACACACCAACACACACACACAGACACACACACACACAACAACACACCAACACACACACACAAACGCACACCAACACACACCAACACACACCAACACACACACCAACACACACACACACACCAACACACACCAACACACACCAACACACACACCAACACACACCAACACACACCAACACACACACCAACACACACCAACACACACCAACACACACCAACACACACCAACACACACCAACACACACCAACACACACCAACACACACCAACACACACCAACACACACCAACACACAACAACACACAACAACACACAACAACACACAACAACACACAACAACACACAACATCACACAACAACACACAACAGCACACAACAACACACAACAACACACAACAACACACAACAACACACAACAACACACAACAGCACACAACAACACACAACAACACACAACAAC